AGAGCAGAAAACTTAAAGGGACACAGAAGGCACTGTATCTGTTCATCTCATTAAACTGGTTATAGTGTATGGAGTCCCCTGGTGCCATCATTTCTTTCAGCAGTTTTTAATGTTGTAATGTTTTAATGCTAAACAAGAGATCACGGCAGTCCATCCCCTCTGTGCTGCTTTGGCTAATAAGGAAGTATTACCCTGAGCAGCAATGGGCAGCTGTGATTGGCTGAGAGTGTCAGCTGACTGCGCAATGGGCAGCTGTGATTGGCTGAGAGTGTCAGCTGACTGCTTTTAACCTGTCAGAGCTCCAACTGACGGTATGAATGGTTATGACAACAAGGAAGTGTGTAATCTCTGCCTTAGCTACACATACAGAAGGGGCCGGACTGTGGGTGGCCAGGGACTCTTATTTTGTGGCATACTGCACAAACATGGTGCAACACTGAATGGAGGGACAGTTCCAGGGCACTCCAGGCACTATAACCAATTCAAAGAGATGAAATGCTTATAGTGACTACTGTGTCCCTTTAAGTTTGGTGAAAAAATAACAAATCCAGTAAAAAACTTAGCTTACATCCTGCAATGAATATAACAGATAATAATTTCTGTGGGCAGGTCCACCATACATGAAATAGAGCCAACATTGGGTAGCAGCTAACCAAACAAATCATAATGGGCTTTATATCCTAAACCAGTAATTGTGGAGAACCGAAAAAACTAATTGTACTTATTAGGCCAAAATAACCAAAACAGAAACATTCTCCAACTCCACAACTTTCATTTCAGATACTCTTCAGCTCAATAATTTTTCAAGATTGGCTGTAGGTCACAAATTCCATTTTAGTGAATAAATAAAACTTTATTAACAAATATGTTTTTCTAAAAAATACTCATTGTAAAGCATAGGATAGAACTGTTGATTTCAATATTAGAAATAAACAACATAGCTTTATAGGATAATATGATGTTTAATCAATTATGCAATTAGTTAAATATATTATAAGGATTCTCTAGTGCCAGCAAAACAAACCCGTTTTCCTGGTACTAGAGAATCCTGGAGTGCCCCCCTCCCTCCCGTCCCCCCATCCCACATTGCTGAAGGGGATAAAACCTCTTCAGTCACTTACCTGAATACAGCGTCGATGTCCCTTGATGCTGGGTCAGGCTCTGCCCACGCTCCTCTTCATAGGATGCATTAGACCTCCCCATTGGAAAGCATTATTCAATGATTTCCTATGGGGATGCTGGCGACACTGGAGTTCCTCATGCATAGAGTGAGGACGTCCAGCGTCGTTTAGACGACCAAACGTTGTCTAAGAACCCGGAAGTACCTCTAGCGACTGTCTCTGGTAGATAGCCACTAGAGGAGGACTTAACCCTGCAAGGTAATTATTGCAGTTTATAAAAACTGCAATAATTAAACTTGCAGGGTTAATGGTGATGGGAGTTGGCACCCAGACCACTTCAATGGGCTGAAGTGTTTGGGTGCCTATGGTGCCCATTTGATATCTTTTAATTATACAATGATAGCAACATGATGACAAATAAAAGACTTTACAGAAACTTGATTATCTACTCTCAGATGCACTTATATCAACATCAATATAAAGATTAATACGATGAATAAACCTGAGTAATTATTATGACATAATAATAAACATTCCCTTTACAAAACATTTCATTGTCCACAGGTAGAATGGAATCATATTAACTTACCATTAACCAAAATAAATAGTTCTCATATAATACACTTAATTACAACTAAAGAAAGCATTCTATTATTTAAAGAAACAATCTTCATCTACTAAGAAGGCCATGGTATGAAGGAACTAGTGGCTGGCTCACGATATCCCCATTATGTTCCATAATATTTACCTCTGTTACACATAGGGTGAGGAATGCACATGTTCTTCCAGAGTTTCAAGGTTGATTTTTTTTTTTTTTTGCCTTCCTACAAACTATACATTGGAGAAGAGTTGCCCCTTTTTTTGTCTGATTCTGTTGTCTTTTTGTCTGTTTTGTCCTGTGTGTTAAATAAACAAAAGATCAATGTTTTAACCCATCCAGGTCTTTATCAGGATCTTGATGAACACCCAGATGGGTAGAAATGTCAATATTTTGTTATTGTTTATTTAATACACAAGTTTGGTTAGTTTAGTTTGAAAATCCCAGAGAGTTCTTTCATTCGTTACATTGATTTTATATATATATATATATATATATATATATATATATATATAAATATAAATAAATCAATTAGTTATATATAGTTGTTCTCTAACTGTTATTTCAGTGACACGACAGATATATCACTTTGTGATAATTCGGTCTATATGGTGATATTATAGTTTAGTTTAAATTAGTTTTAATAGTAAATTAACCTGCTTCCATTTAGCAAACGGTGCAAACACATCCAGTGATGCTTTCACAATGTTAACAGGCAAAAAGCCAGGTAAAGTAGGGTGATGATTTTCAGCTGCTCCCAAATAAGGATCACTCAAAATGACAACACCCTGAGTGAACATGACAATGTTGCCGTAAGAACTGAAACATGATCTTCATGCCTAAAATTAAGAAAAAATGTAAATTAAAAAAGCCCTACAAAGAAACACATTTTTATTAGAAAATATTGCTCTTTAGTCACAGTTTTCCTATGGATGAATTTTTAAATAAAAGTCAGTGGCCTGTGGTATATACGTCACTGAACATCTGGAAACAAATAAAAGGAGAAGTTCACAGAAGTCAAATAAGACAACAGTCTACCATCAACTCATGTGAGTGCTGGGAATGTCTCTTTTTGTTTGTTTCATGATTATTGCTTTTTGCATGTCTGTGTGGGATGATGCAGTTCCTACAGAACCTGAGAATTAACTTTAGTGAGAGAAATTAATGTATGTATCACCTGATTCAGTGTGCACGGTTTGCTAAACGGCGGTTCTAGCTTGAGTCCGGTTGTCCTCCTATACTAGATTTTTTTAACTTCATTGACCAAAAGGATGATCCAATCAAATTTGCTATCATTTTCACAAAGTTAATATGAAATATGTATTCTGATTAGCTTATTAGTGCTTTAAGAACAGACAGAAAATACATTACATTCAGATATTGAAAAATCCATGCACAAATAATTGAGACAGCTCAGTAGATAGTATGGTATTTTTATTACCTGTTGAAATCTCATTTCCGTACAGCAACTCAGTCTTTAATACTTTGAAGGTTGATTACACAGCACATTCAGTTGAGCAAAGCAACCTTTCAGTATGTACTTGAAAATGGCAAAATATTTCCTAGTTTGGTAATGGATGTGATATCTTTTGTATGATGTGATAGTATGTGCAAGCATTGTTGGGTTTTTAAAATTGGAACTCAAAGTTCCATAACCCCTAAAGCTTATAGAAATGGTTACGTTGGAATCGGTGGGACTCTCCATCCAGTTTGGGTTAAATCGTTCTAGAGCAGGTTAATCTAGCACTCTTACCAATTCAATGGCACGCAAACTTCTAAATGCTAATATGGACCTTCACTTAGCTGAGCTGCAACAGAAGAGCAAGGCAGTCAGTCTCTGGAGAGTCCCTGCATTTATCAAATCCCTGGAAAAATATTTTGACCAACCAAGGGACTTTTGAGCTGCAAACTGAGAACCTGAGATTTGAAGAGTAGCTTCCAGCCTTCCTTTGTCCTGGAAACAGAAAATGGTCTTTTGAACTCTTTGATTTGTGTGTATATACATATACATACACATACTTAAAGCAAAGCACTGAGCAGAATATAAACGATCAACACAAGTTAAAGACATATTTTAACCTGCAACACAATAGTACTACACTATTTTTATAATATTGTCATTATAAATTCTACACTTAATAATAATTATTAATATATATACAATATCTGATGTACACATAATAAAAAAGGTTTTAAAAAAAGAAGTAAAAATCCACCTTTTTAATAAAAACTAAAATAAAAAAAAGAAGATGATCTTTATTTTGTTTGTTTGGATTTTTTAAATATAAGGAGAATCCTTGTTTCTTCAAATACAGTCCTCAAAGGAAAAAACAAATGATTCAAACAGATTTCTCTTTACTTTCTGCATTACTTTTGCCATTATACTCTACACTATTATCCATCTGCACAATATGCATACAGTAAGTGTACTGTTATTAAAGCCTGTGGTCCTCAGTTGGACTTCAAAAGGCATTGAACATTGTTTTTCCCTCCACTAAATAATTGTACTTGAGGATCACAGGATTTGCAGATGTAGCTGTGCAATAATGAGTTAATTGCCTTAAGGTGAAAAGCATACATCAAACAAAGAGCAGCTGCCAGGCCATGTAGCAGGATGCTGGATGTCATCCTGAAAAATAGACAAGAAAAGGGTGAGATCTAAATTGTCCTGCCACATTCCATGCTCCGACTTAACCTGTTCAGTTCTTATAGGAAACAAAAATATGTAGAAAAGTAGTTTTTTTAACATGCACGTTGTCATAAAGAATAATTTTTACTTCGGAAAAAGCACCTTTTCCTAGCTAAATAAAAATGAGATAATAGTTATGCATTCACATATTACCTATTTTTAAACAGCAGCTGTACAGGTTAGCATCTGATGTAAATGGTATCACAAGATCGTAACAAAATTATTAGTGTAGCAGTAATCTTGAGAATATGGGGGTTCTTCACTTTCAAATGTTTTATAAAAATAAATATTGTTTTATTTATTATTATTTTTTTTAAATTTATTAATAATTTATTATAAATAATAACAACAAATACATCCCGGGGGCGTGGCCTGACCGGGTATGGAGTAGGACGCATCTCCTTGCAGCTACTAGGCCCCAGCTCACTAAAAGCACCGATAAACCAGCACAAAACAACCCGGGATGGGGAAAACTAAAAGGCCCAACACTCCGGGCCCCTCACAAATGGGCTCGCCGGGTCGCACTTCGGGTCCCATGGACTGGTACCTCGGCACACCGCGAGACACGCGGTCCGCACAGGTCGCGGCCAAAATGGCGCCGGCATCCCCGGACGCAAGCAGCAACGACAGCCTGACACAGGGCCCAGGCAGGGGCAAATACCTCACCCAAATAGCAGCAGACCTGGCCACAATCTCTGCCAATATGTTGTCCCGCACGGACAAGACAGAGATGCTGGCTGAAATAAGGACCGCGATCAGAGAGGAGGTCATGGAGGTGAGGAGAGATCTGACAGCCCTAGAACGAAGAGTGGAGAACCTAGAGGCTGACCGGGCCCAAAATTTACAGCACCAACAAGCCACAGACACTGCCACTACCAGACAAGGCAATGTGTTACTTGAACTCAGGAGGCACCTGGAGGACTTGGACAACTGCGGGCAGAGAAATAATATCCGCATAAGGGGCCTCCCTGAGACCTCTGGGGAGGTGCTGATGGAGCTCCTGCCGGGCCTGTTCAGCAGAACCTCACCTATATGGATGCCCAGATATCCTTGTTCCAAGATCTTTCTGTGCTCACTCTGGAATCAAGAAGGGCGCTACGCCCGTTAACCACCCTGCTCAGGGACCGACGCATACTATACAAGTGGGATTCCCCTTCAGCTTGCAAGATAAGGTGGGCAACACCTGGCGATGTCCCGCGCTTTCTACGGGCTGCAGGCCTCCCAGCGGTTGCGGTCTCAAATTGGGTCCTGGAGAGACAGCCACAGCGCCCACGTGAACCAAGTGAGAGGCCAAGTGTGGGCCACATGAGTCACCGACGGGGCGGCCCGGACAACCCCGAGGAATAACCGGCTCCTGGTGGCGGAGGCCCCCCCGGGAGTCCCAGAGCTGGCTAGACAACACCACGGCAAATCCCTATACCTCCCCTGAACAATAGTGTACAGCGCACAGGATAGACCAAATCACGGCACCCCAGATGCTCCCCCTGGAGATAATCACGATAGGTAGCGAACTCTCCACACCATCGGAAATGCCAACGCCTCGTTGGGTATGTACTTGATCCCCCGTCCCAAGCCCATAGCACATAGACCCAAGCCAGAATTACCAGAGAATGGGCAACCGGGGCTCTAAACCCATGGGGAGGGGGGATTGAACGGAAAAGGAGACACTCGGGAAAGCTGAAAGAGGGACATACCCTGAGCCGGGACAGACTCACTGGCCATCGACTCCCCTTTTGGGTGGCTGGGGTCCTGGGCGTCTCGGATAGTAGCAGATGCAACTATCCGAGACGATTGCCCTGCCTAGAGCTATGATGTAATGTGCACACCCTAGGGGCCCCACAGCTCGGACCCTTCCCAACCATGGAGAGGTTAGCCAGTACGCTGGCTCTTTATGCCAACATGCCTTTTGGCGGCGATCAGGGGGGAGAGGATCGGACTATGGGGAAGGGGGGAAAAAGGGAAAGTTTAAGAATGCAGATTGGTTAGAAATGTTTGCAATGTTTACAATGTTTTTTCTTCCAGTTCCCCAATACACTTGCATGTTCACACGCATACACCTGAGGGAGGGAAACCCAGGAGCGAGCCCAGGGCGGAAGGCACCCGACCAGAGGGAGGGACCCGGGGGAGGGGGAATGAAGACCTATACCATACTAGGGGACCTGACAAATGACCAGGCCTACACTGGAGTGTCCCCAGAGACCCATGGTCCCACGAGAGCAAAGTGGCGGACTGGGCGAGGCTCTCTTGCAAGACATCCCCATGCCGGGGGTAACTCCCAATAGGCCGACTAGTGGGCTGGGTGCCGAGAGAGCAGTGCGACATATACGACCGACTGCTCCGGACCTAACGACCCACTAACCCCAAGTGACGGACTCACACTGTACATATACTCGGAGGCTTCTCCGGTGACACAACCCGAGGGGACTGGACACCGGTGGGCGACTGACTCTGAAGGGAGTCAAAGTTACCTTCTTCCCAGACAGACACCCCTACCCCTGACAACGAACTGACTCAACACCACCCACCCCTAAAACCTTAACCCCCACAACACCCCCCACACCCCAAGCCGAGCACAGGGATGGGCTCCAAATACGAGCCAGCGCCGCTCACCCTGTGGTCTAACAATGTAAGAGGCCTGAACGTCCCTGAGAAGTGAACCCAAATACTCCGTGCCTTATGGGCATCTCAGTGACGTTCCTGCAGGAAACGCACCTCAAAGGCGCGGATGCCCCCTCCTTGAAAAACGGGCGCTTCCCCGTGGGGTTCTACGCGAACCACCCTGACGAAAAAAAAGCCGGAGTGGCTATCCTATTCTCACACAATGTCCCGTTCGTATGCGCAGAACAAAGGGCGGACCCAGGGGGCAGATACTTATTTATCAAGGGGACCATTGTGCAACACACATACACATTTGCCTGCCTAAATGCACCAAACCGAAACCAACACGTCTTCCTAAATAATACACTCACTTTGACAGATCCATCTGTATAGACTGGGATTGCTGGATTTGTCTGTTTTGCCTGTTTCACGAAATTACCCGTTCGTATGCCTTTGTTCAAGTGAATTGACTTTTCTGCCGAACAAAACTGCTGAACGGACGGCCACCCAGAAGAGAAGTGTGCTGCTGGTTAACCTATTGATCCCAATTAGAACGTTGCGGTTAACCACAGACACTTCTCAATTAAAACCGAATATAGGGTGGTCGTTCGTATGTTGACCAGGCGAGGCGGCAGCCATTTTAAACCAGGCGGCAGCCATTTTAAACCATGCGAAAGACCAGCGGTGTTCGGCATTGATTTAATGGAACTGAAAACGGACACTTTTTCAGCTGAACAGCGCTGAAGCCGCCAACCTCCCTTCTCAATCGACAGAAGTGTACGAACACTGGCCATTCAGGAGGTTTAAATGCACGAATGGACTTACCCCAGATAGCCTTCCCATGGAGTCAATCGCATACCGAAGAACTGTAATAGACTTTGACTCCATGGCGATTGAACTATGCGTATGGGATCTGAGCGCTATTCGCCAATAATGTGCACTCAGATCCAGGCTATCTGGGGATATGTGATACGAATGGATAGTATTCGATAAATGTAAAGTTATCTATTTTTATGTGTTTTTATGTGTTGAATTTAAAATGGCGATTTGCCACTGTCCTGGAGATAATTGAATTACTTCTCAATTATCTCCAGGGCAGAGGGGAGGAATTACTATTGCATGCTGGGAATATTTTGTGTCTGTGGGTCCTGAACTGCCATATGTCTATCTGTTGTCACAGTCTCCCATTTGGTCCCCTAGGGGAGTGTCCACCAAATGGGAGACCTGCATAAATACGGGCAGGTAGCCCACAGTAAAACCAGTTCTTGTTTTACCCTCAATGCAGAGCTTGGTCTCGTTATTGGGGGGATTTATTACCGATGACTAGAGACTGCTGGATGGGATTATTAGCCGCTTGGGAGAAATATGCGTTCGGCTACTACTGGCGATTCGTGAGTTTGGAGCTCGTGGAGTGAAGTGCCCGTACGGATCCCGTTCATGAGTTTACAGCGTTCCCTTGCTTGTGATTCGTATGATTACACTGGATACGCATGCAGCCTGGGTTATTGCGAACGGGGAGCATTCACTAAACGGCGGTTTGTACATTTCATGCTGAGGGTACCGTAACAACTGGTGGCAAGCGACAGGATGACCCTCATCGCCCAGAGAGACCACTACAACCAGGATTAAATGAAATTACAATACCAAAGTCTCAGTCTTTGAATCCTTCTCTAATAAGTCGGGCAAGGGTAAATTCTCGGGGTCGCCGGGGCACATACTGCAGCAACATCCTCCGGTCTCTCCTGATACTCCTTCAGCATGTTCACATGAAAGGATTGCTGGATCCTTTCATCTGCACAGCTGGCCATCCGATAGGTCGTATCACATACCTGAGCTAACACTTTATACGGGACCTGCCAAGAGGCTTGCATCTTGTTCGTCTTCACAGGCTTGAGCACTAGAACCTTTTGCCCAACCTGAAAGACCCGCTGTCGGGCACCCTGATCGTACCACCTCTTCTGTCTCCCCTGGGCTGCCTGGAGATTCTCCCTTACCATCAGGGACAGTTTTTCCATGCAGTCCCGGAGTTCCCTCTTGCTCTGTCTCTCCCTCCCAGTGTCCTCTAATGAGATCTAGGGGTCTGCAGACCCTTCTCCCATAGAGTAGCTCAAAGGGAGAGAACCTAGTAGATTCCTGGGGCACCTCTCTGTATGCAAATAGCAGAGGAGGCAGGAATCGCTCCCAGTCTCTATAAGTGTCAGTAAAGGTCCTCAACATCTGTTTGAGGGTGCCATTAAATCGTTCGCAGAGACCGTTAGTCTGTGGGTAATAAGGTGAGCTAAGCAGCGGTTTAATGCCGCACACCTTCCACAGCTGCTTGGTGAGCACAGCGGTAAACTGGGTTCCCTGGTCGGAGAGGATCTCCTGAGGGAACCCGACCCTAGTGAAAATTTTAACCAAGGCATCATCAACCGTCTCTGCCTCTATATTAGACAGCGCTACTGCCTCTGGATAACGTGTGGCATAGTCCACCACAGTTAGAATATACTTCTTACCGGATGGGCTAGCCCTGGCCAGTGGACCCACAATGTCAACGGCTATGCGGGAAAAGGGCTCCCCAATGATAGGCATCGATATGAGCCTAGCCTTTGGGTGATCCCCCCGTTTACCTACCCGTTGACATGTGTCACACGTGCTACAATAAACCTGCACATCTCGGTTAAAATTAGGCCAGAAGAAGTTTTGGGTGATCCTATGAGCTGTGCGGCGGGTGCTTCGATGGCCCGCTAATGGCACATCATGCCCAATCCGCAGAATCTCTTGCCGGTATTTCGCAGGCACCACCAGCTGCCGATTCTGCGGAGGGGTACACAGTCTCTGGGACGCGTCGAAAGGAACTACTGCTACTGTCAACGGACGCTGAAAAGGCTTTTGACCGGGTAGACTGGAAATATCTGGAGAACACACTCCCATACATGGGATTCGGTCCACATATGCTATCGTGGGTGCTCTCCCTGTACACGAGTCCCACTGCGCGGATCCACATTAATGGGACATTGTCGGCCCCTTTCCCGATCCGTAACGGCACCCGCCAGGGCTGCCCACTGTCCCCCCTCCTGTTTGCACTCTCCCTGGAACCATTCCTGGGGTCGGTCAGACGGAACGGGGGAATCACAGGATTCAGCGTTGGTCGCAATGAATACAGAGTAGCCGCGGACGACATGCTGTTCTTTCTTACACAGCCGCTGCTTTCGTTGCCCAACCTTCTCGCGTCTTTCAGAGAGTTTGGAGAGATTTCTAACCTTAAGCTCAACACAGATAAGTCTGAGGCCCTCCACCTACCACCCCTCAAAAAAAAAACAACACACCTCTATACACAGTACCGAATCAAGTGGTGCGACACCAAACTGAAATATTTGGGTATATGGTTACCCAAGGACCCGTCTCAACTATACTACCATAACTATCTCCCGTTACTTCAATCTCTGCAGGCAGACCTTAAAAAATGGTCCCCACACTACATTTCGTGGTTTGGGCGTATTAATGTGTGGCACGTGCAACACCCTTTGA